GAGCCTTCGTTAACCACGCTCTTAGGTGAATCAGTTTTAGTCTGACCTTGGAGCTTCATTATCTCTTCGGTAATTTCATAAATTAGATGTGCGGTTCTCTTGGAACTGGCTTCTCCCTCTCTAGTCCTCTATCTCTCTTTTTCATTACATTTGTATTCTCTCTCGCTTCCCTTTCGTTCTATGATCATAACAACGCAAGATCGGCCATGCAGTTAATTTTTATTTCGCCTTCGCCTGTTGCAAAACAACACGATCATGTTGGTAAACAAAAGGGAAATAAAGCCATATGGGCCCAAGCTTACTATTAAATACCTTCATTGTTCATTTTAAGAGATAAAAAGCCACCAGCTATACATACTTTTTAAACGAAAATATGAAAGAAAAATTCGTCTCTAAAATACTATTCTTAATATCTAAAATAAAAGATCTTCTAAGTCTTCGTTATTCTAAACATCTGTTAGCAAATTTAGTTAAAGTCCAAATGACGACTGCTTATTTTAAATACATTTGTTTAAAAGTGTAACAAGTTTGACTCGTTACACTTGATTATCAACATTTATATCCTCTTCCATTTTCCTCAGGATTGAATTCCGCAAATCTCAGGAGTTCTTTACCAGTTAAATCATATTCGATTGGTTTTTTCGCTTACTATATATATTGCATAATAAGGGATTTTCAGTGTAGTTATTTTATAGAGGACACCTAGTTTTAGAGAGTAAACCTCATAAATTGTGTTAATCCCGTAAGCATAGTATATCTTGATCCCGACGTGATTCAAATCCTTTCAAAAAAATCTTTGGCAATCAGGCTAAGTTAACCTTTAAGATCGCGACCATGGTTGTACAAAGTCAGTGAACTAAATACCGCCATTTTTCTTATAAAAGAATGAAAAATCTGCGGTAAGCTTTGCATCATTAGCACGACTTTACAAACAAATATTCTTCAATGTTCGCCCTATTTTTAGTTAGTACAAGAAACTTCAAACACTTATCGGATATTATCGCTATTAAGTTAAAGTTGTAACCACTGCAGAAATGTAATGTCAACAAGACAAAAACTGTACGATTTTTTGAAACTACCCTGTTGCGTAGAAAATGAATTTCTTAAGCTTTGTTGCCTACTTATATTAAATATCTGAAGTGTTGTTCGCTTTCATTAGTTTATGAACACTGAAAAAAAAAATTTTCTCCAATAAACTGGTAGATGATGGAGGATATGTCGTTTTACAGATTCTCTTGCCTACAAATTAGGACTTGAACTTTGAAATAACTTAATCAGAACTCAATATTTTTTCAGAGTACCAGCAAAATTGAAGGTAGCAAGTTAAATAGGTTTCGAAATGTTTTTGACAATGTGATGTAAATTTTTCAATTGATGACCACTGCTCGTGATCCTGAAAACAGATTTGCAGTACTATGTAAACAAGTTCTTCGCTTGAATGCAAAAAATGTGACAAAGATTAAAACGGAGTAACCAGGTCCGTGTCAATAGCTGCGTCAATCTAGCTTAAAAACTCGTTATTTTTGCTCCTTTGCAAATAAAAAGCTTAATACGTATTATTTTCATTAGAAAAGCACCTCAACTTTGTCTGGTTTTTTGAAGTATCTCTTTGATTTTTTATGCCTTTTATCGTCCGATAATTTTAAATTTTCACGTGGCAAACACGTCAACGGAGAAAGTCTTAGCGTTGATCTTATAAGAAAGACATTTTCGGTGAAGTATAATTTTTTTTCCGGGCAACGATGCTTTTTTTTTTTATGAAAAAGGCCTAAGAAGGAGGATCCAAAGTGGACACGAGAGCTATCAATCATTATCCTTAGAGAGCCAGTGGAAGTAAGATTGAGTTAATCGGCACGATTGGTAATAGAGACAGACTTTGACGACTAATTTGTAACTTTTCTGAGCCATTTAAAACTATGACAATAAAGTGGCAATAATAATGTCCTATTGGGCCTTAAGTTTCTAGTTTCAACATTGGAAGAGGCTTAGATAAAGTACCTGGAGCTAAGACAACGCGTGTATCATATTATCATACAAAAATGAGGCTGTATAGAACAAAGGTGTCTAAATAAGAAAAAACTCGAAATTTTTTAGGAGTTTGATCAACTTTAAAAATAGCTTATCTGGCTCACCACAGTGGTTTTAGGTATGTGTACTAGGAGACTACGATGGAAAACCGCTGCTGGAAGGAAGTCCATCCAGGGATGAACTGCGATCCCTTTTACTGACAAGACTCCATCTCCCGTTCGTGATTTCGCATATGAGAGGCCAGATTGGAAATGTAGCTAAAACTCTTATTGCAGTATTGACATTGATGTGGCTTGAGGCTAACACTTGAGTGGAGACGTAGGTGACGATCCAGGGTACTCAGTTGTGCGAAGCTCTTCTCGCAAAAGCGGCACTTGTACGGCCGCTGTCCAGTGTGAGAACGCATGTGGTTGGTCAGCGTTGATTGCTGAGCAAAAGCCTTTCCACAGAATTTACACGGATATGGCCGTTCTTTTGTGTGAGAAAGTTCATGCTTTCTGAGCGTGGAGGGCTGGGAGAATGATTTGCCGCAATAGTTACAAATGTAGGGCTTGTGGCCTGTATGTGTTCTCAGGTGGTTTGTTAGGGTCGTGCTTTGCGCGAACACTTTTCCACAGTACATGCAGGCGAACGGTTTATCGCCAGTATGTGTCCGTAGGTGCGCCTTTAAGACTCCCGATTGGGCAAATCTACGACCACAAAAGCTGCACTGGAAAGGTTTATCACCTGTGTGAGTCCGGAGGTGATTCTGGAGAGTGGAAAAGTGCGCAAATTTCTTGCTGCAGTATCGGCAAACAAACCTTTTCTCTTTCGTGGTAGGTGCAGTGGAATCAGTCAGAACTTCTCGTGTGTGAATGAAGAAAGTGTGGTCCTCCGAAAAAGACTCATTACGCTTTTGTGTCTTTTCGTTTTCAGCGTCTGTAGTGACGGATGTTTCAACAGATGTGAATGATTTGTTATAGGCCGGTACAAATGTATCTTCTACGCGGTTACTGGAATCGCATCCCTTGTCTCCAGGGGATGATGGTTGTGTTTCTGAAGGTTTATTCGGTGCTTTACCCTTTGCTGAAACTGCGGGATGATCAAGATGGTAACCGTGGCGCTCACCATGTGCATTGCAGGCTAGATCACACTGGCCTACAGACAATCTGTCATAACCAGAACAAATTTTCTCCAAATGTTCACGGTGACCTTCTGGACCAATTATCCATATGGGGCCGTGCCTGTGTTGTGGTGTAACGCCATTACAGCCGTTGTCAAAGGAACTTCTTGTGGCGTTCAAATTTGGTAAGTGCTTGTTCGGTGACTTTGTTTGATACGGAGTGAACTCGGCCTGTTTGAGTGCAGCTTCTAATTCACGAGGTGAAACGACACGTGGATTGCGTGTAAACTCAACGAACTGCGCGTAATTTTCGCTGGAGGGGTCGGTGTTCCGTCTATCAGGAAAAGAGGGACGTCTTGATGGATACTTTCTCACAGGGAAATCGTTGCTGCATACTGCTTGTGTCGGTGAGTTTCTTTGAAACACATAATCGTGTCTTCTTGGAGAGTGCTGTTGACTAAGATCAGTGTCTTCTTGGGAGTAAATCTTTCTACCATTACCATACACCCTGACAATTCCTCTTCTTTTTTCACATCTTTCTTTAGACACTGATGTATCGCCCTCGAGCTGGCATGGGAAACTTTCCTGATGAACGTATTCACTGCAGGAAAAGTCCTTGTGACGAACCTCCAGCTGTGAATCTTCGTGCTGATGGGTTTCCTTTGCTAGATGTAGATCATGGGCTCTTAATCTCTGAGGACGTGGTGGTCGGCTTTTCCTTTTCCTACTTCCAACCGCATTTTCCCGTTGATGGGAACAAACTTGAAAGGCACTCTCATCGCACACTGGTGTTTGGTGTACCTCACCCTCTGAAGTACTTGCCTGGTTGTGGTCAGTCTGGCCAAACTGTCTTGTACATTCGTACGTGCTCGTCAAGTTCTGGTTACATTTGATATCTTCTTCTGATCCACGTGTATGTTGGCAAACTTTCTCGACAAGAATCCGTCTCTCTTCGTAATAATCGTGAATTTCAAGAGCACGACTGTCCCTATGTTGTAGGTACTTGGTATACCAGATAGGAGACGTCTCTTTGGACTCTTGATCATCGTACATGGAGGATCGATTCACTTGAAAACGTGACGTCTCTTGATCGGAAAAACTGGGTGAGGTTTTAACCTGTGGCTTTATCCAAGGTCCATGGTCTTGTCGTCTCCCACGCCCACTTTTGAATGTTTGGTGGTTATGATGCCAAGTGCATCTTGTATGAGGATGTGTGGATGAGATTTCTCTGCTAGGCAAATTCTGCCCGTCAAGGCCATTGGCTTTCGAGGTCGGCAATTGGTCCGCGGGACGCTTTGGCTTTACTATAAAATCTTGACGATCATTACGTGCTTCTACACTGCTTCTCGGACAGTTGACCGGTGGACAATATGGATTATCGTTGTGACTCTCCAAACCACAGCAAATGGTTTCGCGTCTCTCGGGAGAACCTCGGTGGTATGAACAACGAAGAGGACTTGGAAGATCCCTTACAAAATCATTTCCGATATTAACACTTGGGTCAGCATTTTTCTCTTCCAAGAATTGGGAACCTTTCATCGTTGTAGATTGCAAGGCTGGAGGTAATACAGAGAGACTGTAACACTGAACAATTACTGGAGTACATTCGTCGCTTTGGCTTCCACTCTCTTGAGAATTTTCAAGTGAAGAATCTGTAAGGAAAACAATGCCGTTAAATGGCTAGTTAAATTTATCTTTTATACGTTTGTTCAGATCTCAGCTATGAATCATCCTCATCTTCACATCATCCTGGTCTAATTCGAATTTTGCCTCAAATAGCGTTCTCAAAGGCAGAAATCTGAGACCAGTGAACCCATTTCTAATGCCGGGATGTGGTTTCCCCTTTCCACGTTATCCATGCGTAGTAGAGCAGACAGGTAATAAGAATAAAGGATAAACTAATGTTACGGTATAATGCAACCGACAGAAAAATACTACAATCATACAAACGCAACTGTTTTTATAAATGACGTGTAATATTCTTACTTAGGAGCGACTCCAATAAACGATACAGTAGTTATCCTCAACAACATACACAAGCCCTCTACAAGCTAACATTCCCGAAGCTTAGAACGTAACTATTTTGATACTATTAAAGGTCTGTAGAAAGTTCATCCAAACAAATCAGCACGACTAAGCAATGTAGAAATTTCTAAATACTTATTTTTACTCTCTCTCCATAACACTAACTAGAGGATGTTTTCGATTTAACAACAAATGTCAGATGGAAGGAGAATATCAATATCATGGGAAGGAAAGGGTTGAATCACATTTATGCAATGTCATAACAACATATCTTAGTTCCTTTTTTACCACCCAAGACCACAATTACAAACATACACACAAATTTCGAATACATCGGAACATTTTTCGGACATTCTTGACCCTGACGAAAGAATTATATAGGTAAATCAATAGATGGGTAAGAGTGTACCTCTTGAAGATAAAACGTCACCTTGTTGGTTTGAGTTAGTAAAATTTCCTTGAATGCAACAGTTATTTTTTTAGCAGAGTAAGAACAAGGAAATGTTGTGATTAACACTGCACTAAAATGTCTAGCAAAGTAGTTCTAAAATTCACCATAATGGTATTGGCAATGAGTGATGAAACTGAAATTTTTACTGCGCTGCGGAAAACCCGTTTTGAACAAACTTATCGATTTGTTTAAAATTCTAATAACTTGGAGTTCTACACTTTTTTTCGCAGCTGATCTCACCTGAATCTATCCTTACATAAATTAAAAGTTTGAAAGGGCTACGGGAATAGTTAAAATAGCATTATTTTACAAATAGTCGGCGATTTCACACAACGTAGGTGCGCTCCTTTTCTCTTAAAGACAAATGTTGATATGGGAGGAAAAAAATTTAAATTATGGCACTTACGGTGAAGAGCTTGATTGTCACTTTCTGAGGGTTTCTCGAATCCCTTTTCCTTAAAAGAGAAAACAAAAATGAATAAAACTGAGCAATCTAAAGAGAAAATTTCCGCGGCAAAGGTATCGCATCTTTTATGAAGCCTTGCAACAAAACAAACAATTACAAAAGCGAATATTTTCATTAAGGGCCCTATATTTAAACCCAACTTTATCTTTATGAGCCATTAACGCTCACCTCGTGGTGATGTTCCGGTCCATTAGGCGATTTTACGGGTGATGATTCCAATTTGCTTGGGGTACGAAACTTTTCATGACGGTAGCTGTTTGTTGGGGACATATTATGGTTCAATCTGTCACCTTGAGAGGTCGAGGGTGGACGCGGGTGAGTTCTCTCGTAAACTTCATTAAACGCATCATTTCCATTTTCAGTTGAAACTTGAGCAACAACGGTACAATTGCTAGAACTTGTGACTCCCTTCTCTGGTTGATCATGTGCTAATTTCTTCTCAGAAATCGGATGTTTACTCTTCAAAGAATGTCGACTTTCAAGGTGCCAGTTGGATCCTTGAATATACTTTGGACCATCGTTGTTTGAGTTTGTGTTGACTCCGATCATGATTTTATCGTCAATTTTTCCACCTTCGTGTAAAGGAACTTTTGGATCGTTGGTATAAGTGTCGTTCTTGAAGCAATCCTGTCTGGCACGTTTTTGATGATAGCTTGCAACATTTTGGCAGAGATCTTTGTGCAACGGTAATTCGTCTTGATAATGAGGTCGTCTCCTTTTCTCGTGTTCTTGGCAATTAACCGTAGCGGAAAGAGAGTTTGTCTTGGTTGTGTTCGTTCGTAGAAGATGTTCTCCAGGACATGGAAAACTGGTAGTCATTTCATGATCGTCAAAATGGCCTCTTCTCGTTTCCCTGTTGATAGATAGGTTCTGCTCATGAGTTTTGGTGTCCAAGCTCGTGGAAGCGTTGTACCAAGCTCCCTGATTCCATTCTCGAATCATCTTTCTACGTCTGTCAATAGGGCTGCGTGCAGCCTGATGAAAGTTTGTGCATCGCATACAGTAAGAGCCATATAGATCGGGTTTATATAATATCTTGTCGCTATCCTGATGTGGTAAAGTACAATTAACCTGTTGGACATGCGTCACTTTTAATCCAGGTGGTTGGAGGAGATTCAAAAGAACGTCTCTGCTCTGACATTTCGCGCCATCTCTTCCTTGAGGTTTTAAAACTGGTTTGTGGGATGTAGAAAGCTGGCTGGATGATGAACCATCAGTGTGTGGCCCATCTCTCCTTGCTGAGATGTTTGAGGCGTCTCCATGATGCTCTTGATGCGAGTGCTTGGATCTTGAACGACCATTTTGACTGAATGTATCCGTGCAGCTCATTGTTCTGTCCTTATTCTTTTGTCCATGTTGTCGTCTTGAGCTTCACCCTGAAAACAAATAAAAGTGAATATGCATATGTTAGTCCTTGATAATTTCCATGGTGATCAGCATAAAATTTGATCTCACAGTAATTAACAAATGGAGTAACTAAGCCGTGGAGCAAGTAGTTGGCAAAGAAATTCCACCACTGTTAGAATTTTTTGCGATGATCGGCATTATCTTTGTAAACGAATTGATCTTAGATAACGATCGGTGAGCTCAGAACACTATAACATGACAATGTGGTCGAGGAGATGGTTGCAAACTGCTGTTGTGCTTGCATAACCATTTTCAGAGCTTTTGCTGAAACGGCCGACAGATGAACTGCGATAAGCACTCCACTGAGTCAGACTTCCAAAGTGAACCCTCCAACGTGCGCCATTATGTCACTAAACTTTACCATCATGGATTGCAAAAGCATAAACGTTTTGTAAAGTTTACTGCATCGACCGTTGCACCGACTGTTGAAGAAATTTCGCCTCGATTATTTTTAATAACTTTATTTTGTCCACGGTAACACTTTTAGATTTTTTGAAAGAGTATTTTAACTCTTGCTCTTAATTTGTTGGATTCGAATCTTCGCTTATTTTGCGGTTTTTCACGGGAAACTACTGGTTTGCCAATTTTTCAGCAAGGTTCTCTCGAATTTCTGCAGTTTTTTTTATAATTTAAAAAGGTCGTTTATTTTGAAAAAAAAAAAACATTGTAGTGAACTATTACAAAATCACGTTAGGTTCAGCTGGATATTACCAGTTTCCCTCTTATGTTATTCGCTGTGACGCTCGGAAGTATAAAGATTCGTTTTCATGTCATACCTCAATTCCTAAAGTGTTGTGATTGTTACCATCATTTTTTACATTAAAGCCAATAGGAAAACAGGAAGAATAATCAGTGGTAATCAGTGTCAACCACTATGTGAAATTATATAATGTTCCTAATTTTTTTAAGCAAATAAATTGCATCCTAAGCCAGACTAAAAGCAAGAAAACATTCAGTTATAATGGTAAAACAAATTTTTACCACTCTCTTGAAATCAAAATAGCTTCATTTCAAAATTGATATCTTTCTAGCGCTTTCTATTTTGTCCTTTTGTTTGATTTAAATTTACCCTTTCTTCAGATATTGAGGTTAGACAAATAAATATGATCAAAACGAATCTAAGTTGGTCATTTGCTAAAGCATTCAGTATCCGAGGATGTCTTCACAAATAGTTATCTTTCACTTGTTAACTGAGGGGGACTGTACCTCAACAGTATATTTCCGTCAGAAAAAAAAATCACAAGGTGTTTCAAACTCCATTATTAGCACGCTTTTAAGATATTGCTGACTTTGTGCCGTTGCAAATAAATACAAAAATCAAGATAAGGATACTTGATTAATATCTGCTTGCCATTTTACAATCATGCACGTAAAGATCATTTTGTGGGTCTTCTGTTTCATGTGAAAGCCCAACTTTTTGAGACACTACTGGATAGTACTGCTGGCTGACTATCCATTTACAAATTTTCGATTTCCAGAAACTCAAACTCTTTGAGTGTTGCCGATTAATATCAAGACTTAGTACTCAGGTGAAAGCTTCCTGTTATTGGTCAGAAATATATGTATATGAATGTTTAATCCCAAGCAAAAGTATGGGGATTTTTTTGTGTAAATTTAACGAGAACGTTTGCAGCACTGAGTGAGGCCATTTTCAGGTGGAACACACCATCATAGCCGCTGTTCAAGTGACACCTATACTGACCTAACCTAGTCTACATGCTTAATTGTGAGTTTCCCAGTAACTTGAAGTTGAAAATATTTCAAATCTCAGCTGACTTTTGAATAAAAAATCCCTGGACAGAGGAAGTGTTCCCACGGGTCATTTCAATTTTTTTTCGTAGATCCGTTTATGTAGGTGTAGCCACTGTAGCATTCACAACTCTTCAACAGATGTCTATACAGTAACCGAGAGTTCTCAACTTTTCAAAAAATAAACTTTCATATATTATTATATCTGATCGACTTTATTCAAAATTATGTATGCTCTTATTTTTAACTTATTTCGGTATAAATAAAGTTCCTTGTTTGAAGGGGACTAATATTTGACTCTGTATCGTTGTCCAAAATCAGCACTGAATAATTAAAGAAACAATTTGAAACACTTTCTTCCTTTTCGAATATTTGCTTTTCCCTCAACCATATGAGGGAAATGCAACAACAAGCTTGACGACTACAGTAACTCAATATCAATTCAATGCATCCAGACTTGAAAAAAAAAGTTTATTTTAACCAGTTTCCTGTGCGAGTTTTCTGGTTAAGACATTTGACGTAAAAGCGATTGTAGTCAGCTGCACTTCAAATATAGCATTGGAACACGTTTTGAAACTAAAATTGCAATTCAAAAGTTATTTCAGTTCCTTTGTCAGTCTCGAAGAAACAAATCAATGTTCCTTTGTTGCTCAGGGCTTTACACGGAGACATGGAATTAAGGTTTAGATTAAACTTTAAACTTACGTGCCCTAACATTGCTGGTTTCTTGTAAGTTCGAAACACGTGTAAATTACAAAGGAGTGCGGAACTTCTGCAGTTTTGAGGAAATTTTGTTAATAAAGTCAGGTCGCAAAACGAAAAGAGATAAAGTGAAATTCTTGCAACGAATATCAACAGTATTGATAAGCCGAACTAAAACATCCACTCAAGCAAAGCTCGTGTAAATACAGGTTGGTCGGATTCCATTACGCTTTCTATCCTTTTCGTCTTGAGCTACTGAAGTAGCGTTTTTTACTAATCAGTGTTTACCAGTAGTAATTTTCCTTTCATGCCATTAGCTGTCTTTCTACATTTGCGGCGAATAAACGTAGAATCAACTTGTTCAAAGACGCGCGGATCAAAGTGGATGCGTCCTAATCCTCGCTGTTATTGCAACTGGAGAGAGGTCATAATATTCAACCATCGCCTGAAAAATCGGAAAAGTGATCTAATTACTCTTACACGGGTGTATATTGAGTTCTGTGATTCATTATTGCTCGCAGGATTTTTCTTGCTCGACTGCCTGGGATGTAATGTGAACGAGTTCGCCAGACCGTTTACTGTTAAATCAATAGCCAGCCGACTTCCATTAACCAGTGTAAATCAGTCCCACGAAAAATGTAGAAGTTTTGCATTTGAAGAGGACGCTTGGTTTTCGAATAAGATTCTTCGTTGGAATCGATGTCTTGTTGTTAACAAAGTAGTCCCGACAAGTGTTGTACGGTCTTTATTGTAGATTAGTAAATTTATGCCAGGTCTTTCAGCACCCGTGATTTATTAAGCGTTTATATAAATGCAAGAAACACGTCGACGAAAGCCAACAAAAAAAATGACTTTAAATATAAACTTTGCTCTTTACCTGTGTATGAGCAGATTATAAGACATTGATAGCGGCAATTTTAGAATTCCAGTTGCTCCAAAGCGCGTATTATTGCCCTGACAAAAATCGTTTCGCCAAATTGATACCTAATTTGTTATTCATCGGAAACTTCAATAAAAACGTGGCCTACCTAAAGATGCATTCCCTTATTGTACCTGATTGCGAATTTCGTCACTTCATCCCCTCCCCCCTGAAAACAACTTGACCTACCTTTATGCTTTGCTTTGAAGAGAACGCACTTGTTTGAACAGGTAACATTGCCATTCAATTTAGCGAGCAAGGAAAAAGTCGGATCTAACGCCCATAATAACATGTTAGCGAGATAGATGTGAGCACTGTGGTTTTCCGCCTTGTTCGGTGAGCCGTGTTTTGTCTTGGTAATATTCAAATGAAGACATTCTAAAAATTCTCTCATTGGCTAATTTGAGAAGATCAGTTGGGGGTACCGTAGATCACGTGCCGTTGCTACAACAACAACTGAATGGAATTTGGTTGGATGAAGAACCAAATTTTGAATTAAATCCAGTTAAACAAACACAAAGGCAGAATTTCGCCAGGCAGCCCTTCCCTTCGTTATAACTTGCCTAATATTGCAAACAGAAGGCGAATTACTTGGCCCGTGATTGTGAATTCTTGTGTACACTCAGCGTTTTGTCGCATGCGAACAATTACTTTTTGCTATTTGTCCACTTGATAGGCGGTGTAACAATGGATTTTTCAGCACGAAACACTAAGGCCGCCCTTAATGCTTTTCACAAATTGCGCTTATAATCCAAGGATGTCGGGGAACTCTGTGGGCTGTACCTTGCCTTGCTAGGATCTCTTCCAAAATCGCAATTTGACTTGTCTGAAGAGTAACAGGTGCAACTTCAAGAAAGAAGCTAGGGACCATGAAAACTGTCGAAAGCCATTGTCTACGAGCTCTTTGAATGATTCATGAAAAGTGGCGATTTGCATGCAAAATTTTCAGTGCTTTTTGTATAACGCGCGGTCTGCTGATTTTCTCCGAGTGCTTCTGTTTCTTTATCTATTTTTCAGTTTCGCACATCAAGCAATGCTCGGTGGTGGCCACTGATTAAGGATACTGTTATTGTTAACCAAGTCAGCTATCGAAGGGTTTATTTGTTGAGTCACTTTTGGCTCATAACACTGAAATGTTTCGAACAAACCAGTCTTCTTAATTACTTTTCGAAATGCAGCCAAACAATTAACCCGGCGAGGTCCTTCTAACATATGTTATTGATATATTCCCTAAGCGTAGGACTCATTTAGTCCACATATTGCATAGAAGAAGGTTGTGCATTACACCTAGGAGTCAAAAAATTGTTTTGTCTTCTATCCCCCCCATGGAAGAACAATTAGGACGTGGTCACGTATTTGAACTAACCTTCCTCGGATCTTGAACGCAAACAAACCATCAAAAATATTACAATTGCTTTGAATGTGCCTCCTCCGAGTAACAAGCTAGAGAAGATATCTGCCTCAATCAAACTTGGTCGAAAAAGCAACACCTATGTGATATGGGGCTCCTGTGTTCAACAAAGTATCAACAGCTGTCTATATGAAAAAGGAACACGAAAAGTGACTATGAAAATAGGAACTCTGAGATGTTAAAAATAGCTGGTACCCGTCAAAAACTGCCTACAGGCAAAAGTGGAAAAAACCAATCTTGAACATGCTTCAGTGCCACGCGACCCAGTTTTGATAAGAAAAAAAACTTAGAGTTTCATTATCATTTTTTTCCCTTTTCGTTTCGCGCCTTCGAGGGCAAACATTGATTTTAGGAAGCTTTTTCCACTGTTGGTCAGAAACAGGCACAGTTTGAAAATATTTTCTTTGTTAGTTGTTACCACTTCCCCGTGGGAGTCCATTTGGTTCGCGCGTGAATTGGTCTGAGAATAACTTGTATTTTCTAGAAAACTGGTGTTACGAGTTTTCGTCACGTAGTAGGAAGTATTTCTTTCTTTGCTGTTGTTTAAAAGCCGCAATTAGTTATAAAAAAGGCGTAAATGTTGAGCTTTTTTTTTTAATAAACTCTGATTGAAGATGGATTTATTCCCTTGGAAGACGAAATTTTTCATTTTAGCTCGACTTATTTAGACAAGCAGACGTTCACAGCATGTTGTAGGTTTGTTGAATCTTTGTACTTATTCTCGTGGGTTTTAAGCGCAGCTTTCGTCGTTGTTTAGGTTCTGTTTGATCGACGCGCGACAATTAAGAGTTCTCGCTTTGCAGAGGTTTTTGAACTTGATATCACGCACATGTCATGATGATAGGATTAATTATAATAACAAAGTAATATTACCACTGTCTGGTATTACGGCTGTCTCCGAGCAGATCGAGTTTTCCCGACGACACGAAAATTGCCGAGAGGTCAATTGTGAAAAGACTATACAAAGTGATATGTGATCTTTTTCCAGCTTTTAAGCGGCTGAAAAATGCATTTTAAACCAAAGTCGAACACAAATGTCAATTACCCAGCTATGTGAAACCTGCTAACTATTTAAATTGAACTGATTTCATTTCCAAAGGCAATAACCAATCACAGTTTGATTGACGGATTCCTGAAAGCTTTAGTCTCAGGTGCACTTACGATACGATACAATTGAAAAAAAAACCTTTCCAGTTTGAAAAGAGGAAATTCAGTACATACCCTCTTCCGTCGATTTGTTAGATTTTTCAGCTCAGTCTGATACAGTAAATATTTCAGTGCCTTGAACAGTTAACGTACAGTTTAACTTTGAGTCCTCGTTAATACAACCACCAACGAGCTTCTTTTGTTTCAGTCGACTGCGTTTACTTCTTATTACAGACAACCTGTTGTTACGAACAGACTTTAGTAGTTGTCTTTTTTGGCTGGCCTTGGCTCCATTACGAAATTGATTCCGTGATAACTATGAGAGGCTGATAAACCAATGGTCAATGATTGGTGCGTTAAGATTCAAGGGTCTTTAAGCGTAATTTTTGACGAATCTTATCTTTTTTTAAAACGAGAGAAAGGCGTGCACTAAAACAAAGCCTATCTAAGACCTTTGAATTTCCACTACAGATGTGAATATTCCCCTCACATTGATCAAACATTACTGTGTTACCGTACGAGTGTCAGAACTTTCTATAAAACATCGCAAATGAATGGTAAGGTTGAGACACCGAAGTATCTTTTCTTAACCATTGTAGTATGAAAAAAATTTCTTCCAAAACTGATGTGATATCGGACCACCCAGACTCGATAAAAAATTTTTTGCCTTCAGGGTAGCCCATGCTATCTTATATCTCCTGCACAACTAAATTTAGAATCATGGAGTGAAAAGTGCCCGAGTATCTTTCTGTTTCCAAGGAAATCGAACCAATGAGGAAAAATGTCTGTCTTCCTCAGTCGTCTTCGCATGAAAGGTATAAGCTTACAGAATAAAAAATATCAGTGTTTCAGTCTTGATGAATATGATGACAGCAAGTTAGTTCCAACTAGAAAAAAAAAAAACAAAGAAAAAAACACCATCCTGCGATTGTGAGTTTAGGGGTATTCGATTTAAGACAGAGAGAAAAAAAAAACGAATCGTTTACCAAAAGAACAAAAAAAAAAAAAGAGCAAAAAATAAAAAAAAAACGTAAAAAAGAATAAAACAAAGGAAAAGAATTAGCCATTCTTATCTCTTGCTGATCGGCTTGAAAGCTGGCTTCAAAAACTGTGCGTGAGGTTTTCCACATGAAACATCGATGTTGTCATTAAACGTCAGTCCAAATTTCAGCTAGTACACAAATTGTTTATTCTTTGCCGGATATCTGATGAAAATGTCAGTCGAGTCTGTTGATAGCTATCACCGAAAACTTTGTTATATAAATAGGCTAAGGACGCTCCCACGAAGGGCTAAAGCTCGAAACGTCAGCTTTTGTAATCGTTACGGTGGCCAATTTATCATTTCAACTTTGTTGATATATCCAAATTATAAGGACATGAAAGTTTGACTCAGCCGTCGCCATTGTTTTCAGTCAGGACTTCGCCCCGTGCATTTAATGTTGTATGCCTAGTTCCTAGTCGCTCGCTCGGTCGGAAACAGGGGCGGGCGCTAAGGTAAGACAGCAAGATATTTCCATTTGTTCTTTTATTGTTGTATTTATTCCCATTTTTACGCTAAAAATGAGAAGAAAACACCAATAATTTTCACTGATCGAATAAATAACGGAAGCGAACTTTGGACAAGTTCAAGAAATTCCCTTATTTATCCCACTCGACTTTTCAAAAGAAAGCCCGTGTTAGTAAAGTATGTAAACACTTCGCCTCTTTGTATCTTGATGACTTTGAACTGATCTCAAATTTTACTACACATCCCAAGGGTGTATGAGGTAAAGGAGTACACTTTGTACAACCTGCAACATGCTGGGTTAACTCGGACGAGACAAATTAGGCGCTCAGATAGTGTTTCAAAGGCTCAAAATCTCGAGCAAATGATTCTATAACAACAGAACATTACTTAAAGCATTGCAAGCCAGTTACGTAACGAAATTTTTGTTGTTGCGAAAAGTATACAAATTCCTACCAAATACAACGGTATTTTGAGCTGCAACAAAAATTTGAGAAACACGGAGATTTTCACATTTGGCCCGTGATTTTACTTTTTACACCTCAGTTTGCTGAATGCTCGAGACATACACGCGCGCAATAACATACCTCCTGTATGAGCAGATAATCAGCATGCCATAAACATACTCATAGCCTTTTAGAATTGGGTGGTGGAACACACCCGAATGTACTATTCTAATCAGAAATGATCAGGTATGATCACTGACCATCATGAATGGTCATCCAGGTTTTCTTCGTCAAATTGTAGCTGTGGAATCTCCAATTCCCAAGCCAACTAACGAACCTCAACACTAAAAACATGTCTGACGAACCACTACTTTTTCCCCCCTCCCCCCACAAAAAATAGCTTCAACAGAAGAGAAATACTGTACTTCAATGGCGCATCAACATATACTTGGATTCTGAGGGGTGTTCATCGAAACAAAGTCTCTGACTCAAAGTGGTTCTGGGAAAGTTGTGTGTAAGTAAGTCCAATAGGTAAAGAAAATGACAATGATAAAAAAGATGCACCTTTCCTTGATATCCATCGAACAGCCACGTAAAGTTTTCTTAAGTCCACTCGAGGAAGAAAGGAACAAATTTCACAGAAATATCATTGAATGAATTGTTCAATCTTAGAACTGAAAACAGTACGCCGGGATGAGACTGGACGAATTGACGAATTGACAGTTCCGAGGCGATGGAGATAAAACAGGACTTGAAGTAAAAAATTCGTCACCCCAAAAAATGAAAGCACCCAAAACCACAAGGATGCCAACAATTCAGTGTTCTTTCATTTTGAAATAACGATCTGAACTGGGGCATTAGGATGTTTTATATCACTGAACTCAGTTTGGTTATTAAATTCTCCGCCTACCCGCCTATTTCAGATTTGTTTACATGCTATTTCGTCATTGTATTGCTAAAAAAATTAGATGAGAACCAACCGAGCCAGTTTTAAATAGGATAAAACATCAGATCACTATGGAGAACAAGGTGTGAAAACTTACTTCAGCTTTGAAACCTTTGTTTCTTCATTAGCTACTCTGTTTTTTTTTTGGTTAGTGTTACAATTTTGGTACTTACGTTTTTTCGGTTGGTTGAATAACTTTGTTTTCATTACACCGGAAGAATGAACGTTTTCACCTCAGCGCCGTTCCTCCTGCAACTACAAAGTTCAGTGGAACCTTCGACCGTCAAGCCCTATTAATAGAACAACAAAAAAAAAGTTTGTTTTTCAGTCAGTCTAACTCGATCACGCAATCCAAACCGGGCAAAGTCCAGTAATCAATGAGGAGGCCTTTTCAATTGAGAGTAATGGATTGACCACTTTGATTCATATGATCACGTACACTTGTTTTTTGGAGCAAAAAACACCGATTTGGTCCCTTGGAACAAATAGGATTTATTCAAAGGAAGCCTTTTGAGTACAACACCCAAATCAGGCCCTAATCGGAACGATTTCGCCCAACTGTAATACACTATGAGGTCAAAAATAAATCTTTGAAAATAATCAGCTATAATTTTATTAATATTGTAATAGATACTAGTTACATTGACTATTGATTTCCGTCGTTTCAAGAGCAGGAAATGGACCATTGTGGACATATCAGTTGCTTTGTGTTTTTTCCGATCAGATGGAACAGAAAAACGGAGAATTGACAACAATAACGATGATTAGAGCTAATTCAAATCTAATAAAACGCACGTGATCAGCGCAAGACAGCGTGACGGCTTTTTTTCGAGCATGTGATGTTGTTGGCCTGAGACGGCAAAATACGTAAGGAGCGAATCTGTATTGCGGGAAAAGCCAGATCTTAATATTATAAACGTCTCTTTTTGGTGCGTTTCTTGGGGTATTTAAGGGAACCTATCCCATTTGCCAGGTCAGCGGAAGGCGACACACCTCGTATACCTTCATATAAGCTGGAAGAGGAAATGGCGGTCCGCTGAATTGTTCAAAGCCAGCTGTGTCAACCAGGGTAAGTGGCTGGATTTTTTCAGACATTTTTCTTCAAGTTCACTGTGTGCAAAGGTCGTCCTTTTGTTTAAAATTAATTTATCTGAATAAACCTCGCAATATTTATTATCGATCGCTTGAAAACCGTTCTTCAACAATGTGTAACACGTGTCGATTCCATGCGCGCATCGTAAAGGCCAAAGTTTAAAGTTTAAAAAGAAGACAAATACTCTTATTATAAGTCTCATCCGAAGAAAAAGCGGCTTTGTAGTATCTTGGAAAACTGTAAAATTTTCTTTTACCATGTTTACAGGTCCTTATATCGATGGAATGAACCCCAAAGTTTTGAAATATAAGGCGTCGGCATTATATATTACAGATAGTTTATCCACCGCTCTCCTGAATCGGAACTTGCCTAGAGGATTTCTATTGTGAAATACAACTTAAAGCATATGTATTTAAACTGCGTTTATATTTGAACAAAGAAAATTGAAAGCGTCAATACTCTGATCAATAATTTCGGGTAAACAACTTGTAGGTCAAAGATTTAAAAGAGAATTGAAAATGGTTTGTCTGTTGTAAGAAGCTCTTTGGCCCTAAGTCGGTCTCATGACAATCAGTTGCATATTTTCTGAGTGAGGTCATACCGCATGACTGTCATTCTCATTTCACTTCAGGAAAAATTGCCCTTCAGATCATAAGATTGCAAAAGGAGAAAAAACGTTAAACAGATTAGACTCGTGATTTTCCTTTTTGCAGGAAGATAAGTAAATTTATATTAGTTTACTTGTGTCTTTCCATATGACACATCTACTTTTACCTAAGGGTTCCTTCCTGGGCCTTCATTAACATAGATATCATGCATTGTCAAATAGATTAGAGACTTGAATTTATTCACAGGATGTATGTTAGATGGTCGCCCTAGGTGATGTTCTTAGCAACATAAAAATCTGTCTTCAGTGGTTTTTAGGATTATATTTTTAAGTGTGTTTAAGGGATGGGATGATTCGAAAAGGTGAATAATCCTGATGTCATATCTGTAACACCCTAGAGGAAATTATGGTAGATATAACAGACTTTAGCAGAAACCATTATTCCTTTGTTATTGTAATATTTTAGCTGGTAGAGAGCTTTATTATGGCATTCCATGTCTGTTATGAAAACAGTCATTTACAAGTTAATTTTTGGTATATATGAGCACTCGCTCTATGGGAGGGGACACATAGTATTTAATTGTTTTTGAGCCAAAACAAATCTCAGCATAGCTAAATTATTGTCATCTTTTAAGAAATGGGACACACTTCCTGTTTTTCCTTGAAAATAGACAGGTTTCTTTGATTTAATATGACATTGTGGTTTTTTAACTTGACCACAGTTCAGATGTTTTCACTAGTGGTCACCTGGTCAAGGGGAAGCTGAAAAATTAGTGATGTTTCTGTGGTGAGTTAAAGATATCCAACCCTGTGGGAAAACGAGTAAAGTAACAACAGTTCTTGCAAAAGAACCAACATTTTTTAGTCTGCAAAACATGGAATAAAAAAATAGTAATGAATATTTATAGAGGATACCCCCCTCAGTACTTAAGTACTGTTATCAAAGGGATCTGTTCAAATGATAAACATGAAAAAAGAGTTAATACAAAAATGAGATTAAGTATGACTTTGGGTAATGATACCTTCAATAACTTCAATAACTATACTGTACAAAATAGAATTCATCAAGAGACTTCCCAAATAATATCCTACTGCTAGTTTTTTTTAGTTTCAAGAGTTGTTCAGTTTAAATTCTTGCTTTACTGGTACATCACGATTTACATTCATTTGTAAGATTACATTATACCAATTTGAAAACAATTTGAATGAAATACAACAGAATCACAAAAGAGCTGTGGTAATATATATTAAGAAAGTAGCGAAGAAAACAACAAAACAAAACCACTGATAGTTATGATGAATAACAAAAACTGATGAAAAAAAATCTTAAAAAGAAAGGATGAATCCAGTTGTTTTAACTGTTGAATTAGAGTTGGATTCTCTCATTAGTTATTTAAGGCCTTTTTTGACTTTCTTCAAAAAATTGAGGCAGCAGTATCCAAAATCATGAAAGATTTTGCTGATCACAAGTCATGACATGCCTGTTAACATGCACAGCCTTGTCTGACACATAGTATTCTTAGATGGGTGCAAAAATGTGGCAAGTGATGTCAACAATGTAGTAGGAAATACAATATAATTTGGTTATATCAACAAAGTTGAAATGGTAAATTGGCCACCGTAATGATTACAAAAGCTGACGTTTCGAGCGTTAGCCCTTCGTCGGAGCGAAGTAGGAAATACAGCCAGCAAAGTTGTAAATTATTTACAAAGGTAGAGCCTGAAGCATTTTCCATGCTTAACATGTTACCAACCTGAGAAGTAGAAAAAAAAACTAACTTGATGTTTAGATCAGGTTTCCAATGAGTGTTTGAGTAGTTGTCTTATCTTGAACTGCACAACTCCAGAATAAAAGCTAACAAAATTGAGTTTCATAGAAATGTTTAGACATTTTGTCAGAACTGAGTGAGTCAGTCTATCTCTAGGATGTATTCTTTTAGAAACACATCAATCGATATTCTTGTCAACAACAGAAAACAGTATTTGCATGCGTAAGATAATTAATGGTCAGCTTTTTAGTGTCCTTGTGAGAATCAAGCCAAGTGTTGTTAGATATACCCAGCTGATCTTAAACTGCTTTCTATGCTACACATGAGGTTCACTTTTTATGCAAAGGTCAGTTATGCGATTAACAAGAGAGGGACACTATGGGTTTCCTTCTTGCTCCGGGTCTTGCTTATCTCCCAATAGAGCATCAAAAAAATAATTGATTGGTTAGCTACTGACATCTCTGCAAGTTTGTTTTATTGATGTTATGTTGATGACACCTTTTGTACATATTAAGCACCTTGTGTTGGACAAGGCTTCACTTGTTTACAGGCACTTGCAATCATCCAAGGCCTGTAATGACTCGTGCTCTGCTGATTCTTTTACGATTTTGGATTCTGCTGCCTCAGTTTTTCAGGAAAAGATCAAAGAGGCTTTGAATATTTAACGGCAGAATTTGTTTTAGAGATTTGATGACATGATTTAGATATTTGAAGGTAATCAGGTTGACTTGCTGTTCATCAAATACTGTAAGACTGACATTTGAAGTTTAAGCTCTTTATGAGAATAAACTTCAATACTGAAGATCTTATCTATTTACATTTCATAATAGTTTGTGGAGTGGAGTAAAGATCTGTTTTCTTGCCACAGGGGTTACTTTGGACTTAGCCCTTTACATTCTTATATCAGAACTGATATTCTTCTCCCTTTTCTTCTCTACACCTTTCTTTTGGAACTGATGAAGAGAACTCATTAAAAAATACATGCTTCCTAGGTTGGCTATCATTTCCTTTATTCTCATGCTATTAACAGATGATTAAACAGTTTTACTGCAAGGAGAAATTAGATCCTGGTCACTCTTCAGTGTTTATAGGATTAAAGATATTTCAGAGTGAAAGAAACTATGTTCATGTCAAGTTTTGTAAATCTTTTTTTTAGGCTAGATCTGGCAAAGGAGTCTTCAGTGGTTTACAAGCATGATGGCATTTCAACAGGGTGTAAAGAAATTTCCTTTGATTTGGTTATGGTTGATTACAGTCTTCTTAGCTGGTGGTGTAATCATCAACTGTGTTCAGTTTCTTTTGTTACCACTATGGCTCATAAAGAAGGATCTGTTCAGATGGCTCAATTTGAATTTGGTCTACCTACACTGGTGCCGTGAGTATCAAGGAGTATTACCGTATTTTATTGGCTATAAGCCGAGCGATTTTTACATGTTTAGCCTAACTTAAATTAAAATCTGACTTGTAGAGGGGGTTTCCGCTTATAGCCAAGAGTTTAACCTGAACAAAAATTATGGACTTAATAAAACTAAGATAACTACGCATACATGTGTATTCGCATACAAGCTGAGGAAAACACATGGACAAAAAAGCAAGAGTTATTGGTCATTAACTTTTAATATGTGGTGGCTCCTAAAGGAGCCGTTTGTTTTCTGTCGTGAATGGCACGTTTGAGGATGTCAGCTTATGGCTCATCTTCGCTTTCCGTATCAAATTCTTCATCCATCTCATCTTCTTCTGCGTCATTGTCTTGCTCCTCTTCATAGATGGCCTCATCCTCGGTGCCTTCAAGTGCATTGGAGATGCCCCATGTAAGAAATGATTTCCTCACAATCTCCTCCGGGATCTCCCTCCAAGACTGCTTTATCCAACGTAGAACGAGGTTTCTTGACGGCGCTTTCTTTTTCCCAGCAGGAGTAAACTCGAAGGGGCCAGTTACCATCCACAATAGGTACTTTCTTCTCATATTCTCCTTGAAGGGCTTATTTAGACACTTGTCTCAGTAAGATGAGCACGAAAGGAGTCCCAAACCAACAGCGATTGCTCACCAGTGGGGTTTCTTGGCATGCAGGTACGAATCCACTCCTTCCCGCCTATAACGAAAGAAAGAATACAACAATCGATTTGACCTCACTTTAATTAAAGACTTCAAAGCATGCGGCTTTAAACATGAGTAAAGAGCACAGAAAAAACAGCGCAGATGAACAACACAAAACTGTTAACTTAACAGCTTCATCCATCCATCCTTTTTTGTGGAATAAAACACGAACTGAGTCTGGAACAACCAGGTCTCTCGGGGTTCGTACGCCTTTGAAGATAACTTTAGGTGGCAGCTTTTTGCCATCAGCAGCGGCGGCCAACGTGACTGTGAAGCTTCTCTTCTCTGCGCCACAGGATTTCATGGGAACTGTTCGGCTGCCACTGAATTCCAGAGCACGGCTGGACGGCATCTCGAACCGCATTGGTGTCTCATCCATATTGAAAATTCTGGACAAAGGGTATCCACGGCACTGATGAGCTGCGATCACAAACTGGTGGAATTTTACTGTTTGCTCTTCGAGATCGTTTGGCAGATGCTGGGCGAGGGTGGTCTTCATTTGGAGAGTGATGGAATGGCGCCGCTTCCAGTTTATATACCAGCCTACAGATGCTTTGAATGCGGGATGATCGCAGAATTCTTTCGCCTTCAAATGCAACATCAGTCCACCGACAGCAATTCCTAAAACGAAGGAGAGATAGATAGAACAGAGAAGCAATGATACTAATGTTTTGACAACTATCAAAAACTGTTCTGTTCCACGGAGGTGTAAACAAACTTGTGACATGATTCTCACCTTGACTTGTCTGCTCGGAAAACTATTCCAGCAGTCTTTCATTGTATTGAGTAGGTAACAATATTGATACAGTTGTTTCCCAAGAGGTAAGCCTAACTTTCGTTAAATATTAATGACACCTTGCTTTCCAAGCAAATTGCCAGTGCCGTTGGATAATTAACCTGTTCTTTCATTTCATTTTAACAGATTTTAAAAGCTAAATGTAATTAAAATTTTTCATGAGCTCTCATACGTTTTAAGAACTGGGTCTCGGCTTATAGCTGAATGTTTTGTGTTTATGTTTGAAGACGATCGCATTAAGTCTAAGAGTTAAAAGTTTAGGGTCTTGGCTTAAAGCCAGGCTCGGCTTATAACCGATAAAATGCGGTATTTACCATTATTAAAAACTGGATCATTGGATAATGCAATTCAAGACTTTTTATTGGCTTAGCCATTATGGTATATGGGCCAATATACCATAATCTAATATATGTACATTGTAACTTCCGGTTTCTTCTTATAAAATAAAGTCGAGAAGATTTGTTTAACATCTTTGGGGAGCTTTTTTTTTAATAAAACAATTATTATTAAACAATTATTATGTTTAATAAAACAATTAGTAGCAAAACTAAGGAGTCCACCTTAATCAGTTTAAAAACAGAAGAGGGCATCATTGTAAAAGATCAATGCGAGGTAGCTGAGCAATTAGTGAACTATTTCACCACAGCTGCTGTTAGCATTGTAGGAGACAATGCTATTTGCATCACAGAAGAGAACCATGACAACCATGGCAGCGTTAAAGCTCTAAGAGAAGCATACCAAGGAACGCACTTCGAGTTCAATCGCGTCAGCAAGGATCAAGTGCAANATAGCCTAAAATTTTGTTAAGTACCATTTATATAAGAACCTGTTTAGGCTAACTCTAAGAAATGTAGGTTCTTACTTGTGGGTTTTTACTGTATCATATTGATGGGACAAAACTCGATTTGGTTCTTTGCATAGAGACCTGGACTTGTTAACTAGTGATGTTCTCACTTGGAATTATCACATTGCCAATATTACAGCTAAGACAAATAGTATTTAGGCCTTTTCAAAAGAACATGTCGGGATGTCAGTGATGTCACAGCTCTTAAGACTCTGTATTGTAGTCTTGTGAGGCCTCAGGTTGAATATGCCTCTTGGGTGTGGAATCCTTATACGAAGAGTAACATTAGTCGTATAGAGTCAATTCAAAGAAGGGCAATCAAATTTATTCATAAAAGTGATGACAATTATTTGGTTAGGCTATTTGAACTCCACTTGTTATCTTTAGAGGATAGGAGATTTATTGCAGATGTTGTTTTCTTTTATAAGGTGGTTAATAATCATGTTTGCCTGACCCTTGATTCTAGGGGTTGGTTCTCTAGGGATATTGACAGGGGATATGCATTGAGAAGTATGGATACTCCAAACCTTTTCACCAGATTTTCTAGGACTAATTTATTTAAATTTAGCTTTATGAGGAGAATAGTTGGGGAATGGAATAGTCTCCCTCTTGATGTTCGGGAAGCATCACCTGTGGCAGATTTTCAGTTGAAGGTTTCTACATTTTTAACTCTTTGAATTTCTGTATATACATTTTTGATCTTTTTTTTTCTTTTATGCGTGTATATTAGTAGATCTATAGATAGGTTGGAGTTTCCTCCTAGAATGGTGCTGGGGCGCTTTTTGAGGATTCTTTCCATTTCAACACATTATCATGTAAATATTTTTATTGTTGTTGTTGTTGTTGAAATAAAGCTTAATAAATAAGGTTAGATTGAAATGTTTGCTCTGTTTATATCTAACTTGGGGGTTTTGATTTGCCCTGCCATAATAAATATGAGGCCACCATTTATCTGGGATCTAGTGTTTAGTGCAGAAACGACAATATGTTTCACTTCTTATAATATGTAAAACTTGTCTAAACAACTTGGTGTCCAGTAGTTTTCAGGGCTGGTGTGTGCTTCACTTTTTGGGATATAATGTTTGTGCATAAATTCTTTTTTTTTTTTTTTGTGGGGTGATACCTTTTTAAAACTGTGAACAGGTTTTTTGTAACCAGCGACTAGGGCCAGTAAAATAGTTTTTTTTTTATTTGCATATAATCTTAAAAACAGAATGCGAATCAACCTTGAGAGAGATGGAATATGTTTCCCTGTCAAAACAAGTCAGTTCAATAAAATTTAACTTGTAACAGCAAAAAATGTAAATATGAGTTTGTGCCCATTTGCACCAATACTTTCAAATAAAATGAAAGCATTACTTTCAATGATCTAGAAAGGAAAAAATGCAAACTTGCCATTTTCATTATGTTACTATTATCTCCCAAAATCAGATTTTTTTGGAATTGAATTTCTTTTTCTAAAAATAAGTTCACAAAATTTTTCTTACATCTTTGGAACATATCACTTATATTCCTGTGTTATTTGAGGATTTTAAGTTGGAATTTTGCTGTAATACCTTTAGTAATCCTGAATTTGAATTAATCACTATTGTGGTCCTGTGTGAGTTGAATTTACTCGTCTATTCACTTGGTAATCTAACTCTCTGGGAATTTTTCCATCCCCATCAACATAAGATCTTGTTTTGGCAATGAACCAGAACCATATTGTGTGGAGAAGAACCAGCATTATGAAATTATAAGGATATTTCTGGAAGGTCACAAATTATGCAGTCATATTGCTCAGTAATTATATTGAATTATTTAGTTTGTTAAAATGTTTCAAAAGTAGACTCACCAAACATTTTGCATTTGATGTTTGCTTGGAAGGCTTGTCTTTTTTCTGGCTCAGGAGATGTTTATATATGTTGTTTTCCTTTAACAAACATTTTTGTGTTGTTATTTTATTTGCATAATTTCCAGCCAGATTGTCTGGAGTGTGGGTGTTTTTGTTTTTTTATGTCGGTATCAACTTAATATGCCATCTTACTTGTTCATAACTGACACCATTATCAGGTTTGATTGGAAACATACCACCAATATTTTGGCCAGGTTTTAAAATAATTTTTTTTTTTTGTATAAAAACCCTGTATTTCTCACATTGTAAAAAAGAGCAATGCACTGGAAAAGTCACTTATCGTTAACATATTCACATTCATTGTGTATGAAGAGATAAGATCATTTACAATAACTGGCAATTAAATCTGTAAACATAAAAGACAGGACTAGACCAGCTGGAGTTTTCTTCCTCTGATCCTCGTCATTTTTGCCTCATTTTATTTTGAACAATAAATTTTAATCTTTAAATGAAAGTCCAGACAAGACATTCTTTGAGGCCTTAGTTTCTGTTTTTCAGTTACAGTTAAACCTTGATTCTTTGGCCTTGTGGGGACTGGCTTGAATAGTTTGGATAATCAAGAATCCGGATAATCTAACTATGAAGCTCAAGATTTGAGTGAGCTAAAAATAAAATGAATAACTTAAAAGTGATTGCATATCAATATTTTGCAAAAATTAAAGGGTATCCTCAAATTGTTGTGTGTAAATTGCCAAGATTTGCTTAAAGCATTTTGAAGAAGTTATTAATGCTGACCAAAACGTTTTCCATCCACCTAAAATGTTTCAATAGATCAGTTTATTTCAAGCTGTCAGTGTGTGCATGTTGCTAATCATGTCCACCATTCTTTGAGCTGCCGAGTTGAGTTAAAAGTGCTAAACAGGGTTTTGTCTTTCTTGCCTTGTTAAACACTTGAGATATTTAAAAAACATTTTGCAGCTTTGAAAAGTAGAAGAAATTAGTTCCAGTGGGAGTGTTTCATTACATGTTCTTTTTTTGATGAAAAAAAATTGTCACAGAACTCAATTGTAATATATTTATTTAATTACTACTGTTAAAAAAATGGGATCAGAGAAGCAAGTCTGGATATTTTAAAAATTCAGATAATTGAGATACAGAGAATGGATATTTTACTGTATTGAATTTTAGGCTTAAGGGTCATTGAGCATCTAAATGAAACCTGTTTCAAGCGGTCACACATGGAGAATGGCCAGGGAGCTGTTTAATGCAGGTTGACCCCTTAATGCAGGTTAATCAGAATAGGGATATCATAAAAATAAAAAAAACACCATTTTATGCCACAATTGATCACTTATTGCATGAACCTTGTTCAAAAATACCTGTCCAGTAACATTGATTTCGGTAGAGAAACATGGATAAAAGGTTACTTAAAGGATTTTCCTTTTTTTTTTTTTTTTTGAGTGATTAGCTTAAGTGACTGTTTAATACAGGAGGTAGACAATATAATAAAGGGTGACCAGTCGATTGCTTCATAAAGTGACTGCTCAATAGAGCTGAAACTTACAGTGACTGAGGTAAAAAAAAAAAATTGGGACTTTGCCAACAGACTTCTTTATACGGGGTGCCTACTTGATCCGGTGCTGCTTATACAGGTTGGACTATATTTGTCTCATTGGAAGGATCAAAATGTGAATTCTTCTCTTTTTTCTTTTTTAATTTTCAGAGTTAACTTTCCTTGCGGATAGGTGGTCTGGTATGGATATCAAGCTGTATGGAACAAAGGAAGACTTTGACAAACTTGGAAAAGAGAGTGCTATCTGTTTCGCAAACCATCGCAGTGATGTTGATTGGTTGATTGGATACACACTTGCTGAAAGAGTAGGAGTGCTGGCGGTAAATATCTGTCTGTAATGTGAGTGGGTGTGGGAGCCACATTGGACACCAGGTTCAAGAGAGGTCCAGGTCAAGACCTCATTGGGTCATCGTGTTGTGTTCTGGGGCAAAACAAGTTGCCTTCACAGTGCAACTCTATAACCAGCTGTAGAAATGGGTGCCATTGGATGGATAATAAAATGCTGTGGGGTAATCCCTGAGGAATAAGTTATGTTCCTAGTCAATTCTTTTTATGAAAGGTGGGATACAGCTCTGGCAGGACGGGGCAAAAAACTTGGCTTGAGTAAACACTTAACCTTTTAATGTGAGAGGGCCTGCACTCACCTACTCAACTTACTGTCTTTACAAAGAGTGATAAACAACATTATCTCAGAAAACAGAGCAACTTTTGATAAGTATCAAAAGAAATCATTGCATTGGTTTTGCTTTACTTTATTAGATGCCATTGGTCCAGATCACAGAAAAAAAAAAAAAAAAGTCAGAGGTTGTGAGTCCCATCTGCTAAACACTGGGCGCTGCTTAACCCTCCCTATCACCCTACCCTAAAGGCAAATAAGTACATGAGCAAGTACTAAATAAATTGATATGATACAGATGAAATCTGAAAAAGTCCAGTAGAAAATTAAGTTAACTTTGGTTATTTAATTCAGTGCTAGGTTGTAAAAATTTTGTTTGGAAAATTTTGTTAAATGGAGATGATGGCTTTTATTTGTCACAGACCTGTAAGTGCTACATGAAGGGCTACTTGAAGTTTCTACCAATAATGGGATTCTCCTGGTGGTGCACAGAGTTTGTTTTCTTACAACGAAACTGGCAAAAGGACAGAAGATTACTTGAACAGAGTCTCAACACTCTTCAAGATTTCCCATTTCCATTTTGGGTTGGTAGTTTTTCTCAGTGTGAAACATAATTTAATTGGAGATATTGTGGAGATATTGCTTAGCTGTTGTTGTTTAATGAAAATAAAAATTAGTTGAAAGATTTATGAGTGATTGATGCACAATTTTCCAAGACCAATGTTTACAACTTGGTTTTAAAACTGTTACAGTGGTTTGGTTGATGCTAATAATTATTCAGTCTATTTTAAGCAAACTTCTTGAACATTGGGGAATATATTTTAAGTTGTTGGTTACTCAAAGCAATTATGTAATCAGCTCTTTTCTAGTAAATATCTTTTAGCTTTCTTTCTATGACAATGAATCCTAAAAACACATATATATTATAATTAGATAAAGGGGAAACCATACCAATCATTTTAACAGCTCTCAAATTAATAGGAATTAAATAGATCTCTTTTCATACTTTTAGATGGCCATTTTTGCTGAAGGAACAAGGCTGACAGAGGCTAAAGTACAGGCTAGTGTGGAATATGCCAGGGCAAATGGTCTTCCGGAACTAAAACATCATTTATTACCGCGATCAAAGGGGTTTTCTGTCACTGTCCAGTATCTTAAGGACAAAGGTACCTATAGAAGCTTCTTTAGATTTCTACATTGTTAAGAAACCTTGGATATCCAACTTTAATTGAAGTGAAATGCTTTTTGTTACAGTGCTTTTTATGCAGATTTATTTTTGCCCTATACTTTGGGGTGTGTAACATTAAAGCTATACCCTTTGTTTCAGAAACCCTCATGAATTAAAAATTACCCATACACCCTTTTGCCCCCAGCTCAACCCTTTAACTCCCATGAGTCAGCAAGGCACATCATATTTTGTTCCTCACAATATCAAGCAGACAAGGGATGAGAATAAAGAAAAAATATGTATTAGGGGATTATTATTTGATCAAATACTAAAGTTTCTGAACCAACAACTTGAAATACTCTGAGATTTAGTTGTGAATGAATTGAACATCTCAGTTTTCCTTAGTATGTATTGTGCGACTCTGATGTCCTAAGGAGGATGGAAATTAAATGTCAGGGGCTGGCACTGGGGTAACGAACTCTCTCATAACCCTCTCCCCTCCTATGGTTTGTGTGAGAAAGAAAAAAAAGATTGGAACAAATTGCCGCACTAATGATACCAGAGAAAACTAGTATACGAGACTCTAGAGGTCTGCAAAGGAAAGCCATGGTTTGTTCACGATTGATTTTAATTTGTTGTTTTTGTTGATTGGTTTTATGTTGTAATCTTATTTTGTCCCTGCTGTATATGACTTGGAAGTTGCTTTTCCCAAAGGAAAGGAACCAAGCTTGATCAGTATGCTAACGGGAGAAGCTGAAGAGGTGCACCTGTGGGTTAGGTAATGTTAATGTGACATTTGATAAAAATGGAGAAAGATGGGTTACCTGCTGTGCACGGTGGAAAAGGCACTGGCCTAACGGTTAGCCCTTGTCACCTGGCTGAGACGTAGTGTCGTGTTCTTGGGCAAGACACGGTTCTCTGACCATGCCTTTCGGGAGGACCAACATGCTCGTCTCAGGTAACCTAATGCAAGTTTGTACTCTTTGCTTTTGTTAAATTCAGGAGAATTCCAATTCAAGACATTCCATGTGGCGATATTGAGGAAACTTCCAAGTGGTGCAGAAAGGCCTTCCAAAAAAAGGTTTTCAAATTCACCTTTTGTCATTGATACATCATTGTCGCTCTTCGTATTTTCAGTTCGTGCTGCTCGCTGGTTGTTTCTAAATGACTTGTTCTCCCGCCTTGTTCTCCGGTAGTTTGAAGTGGTCAAACGTAATTTCCCGCGCAAAATCTCAAAGGAAACATCAGGAGCAGCCGCTGTGTCGCAAAATCAGTAAACAAAAATGGAAATTATCATAGAAATCTGTAAAAGGAAAGAGAAGGAGAACTCGACACTATTTAACAATTGGTTCATGCTTTAGCGTGCACTATCGAGTTATGGAGCACGCGGGAAGTTTGGAGAGCACGAAAGAAGCGTAAGAGTTGCCCGAGGCGATAGCCGAGGGCAACTTTAGCTTCTTGAGTGCTCTCCAAACTTCCCACGTGCTCCATAACTCGATAGTGGACAGCTGAAAGCATGAACCAATTGTTTTAGAACATAGCCGGTGGAATTGTGCATCAAATCCGACGGGAAAAATGGACAACAATATCAGTTGAAGCGAATCTTGACGGCGCTGATGCCGAGTCTCCTTTTCCTTTGTTTTTCTCTTTTTCTGCCTCATTTAAGAACTCTAGCCCAAGGGAAAAGGTCGAAACATTGTCTTCGTTTTCGGACTAGTAGGCCGAGTTTCTGTTTGTATCCATTATTGTCGCGAAATATATTATTTTTCCCGCGCTAACAATCGGCCGCTCGCGCGAAAAAAAAATTTCTGGCAAAGCGATTTGCTGACGCTGTCAGCGTGCACTATCGGGATTTTGAGCACGCTTACAAATATTGAATTTCATTGCGCGGTTCTGCTAGCTATGTTCTAACCGAACATAGAACATATTCAACTGAAGTACGGGTATCCTCTTGATTTACATTTCTCTTTTGAGGTTTACCAAAGAAGTTATACGCCTCAAAAACACTGTGCTTACTGGCTTGTGTGGTTGTTTGCAACTCGTGTGAGACAACGGTTGCTGGTTGCCTCTTGGCGGGTTCATTTCTCCCGCTTTACCTGCTGGTCTGATGTTTTTCCCGCGCTTTTCTGGCTGTTGTCACCGACGGATTCAGTTTATCCCTTCTATCACCAGGAAATTGTCCTGTACTTTGCCCAGTACACTGATTTCGATGCTTACGTTTCCTTCCCGATTTCTTTCAGGACGAAGGAATGGCTTACTTCGTTGAACATGGTAAATTTCCAGCAGAAAGGATAGATTGCGCCAAGGGAAAGCGAAGTCTCGTCGTGACTATTTTATGGAACATACTTTTGGGTGTTCCACTGTTGTGGTATATCTTGTCTGTATTGCTGTCTGGCTCCATTACTTCACTCTTAATTGCTGCCATAATTGCTCTAGTGGGTAAGTAAAAGTTTCATCAAAATTGAATAGAAATTTGTGACTAACGTTGTCATTTGTTGCGATTAACGGATTTTTGCTGATGTCGTGCTCGTGCGCAAACAAAAACAATGAAATACGACTTGAGGCGATGAAACCACGTAGTCATACACTAAAGCTACTAGCGCATGTAGCCAACACCAAACAAAGAAAGAGAAGAACACCAGCATGTTAATGAAATAAAATCCAAAGCGCGCAAAACTTTGACGTAAAATGAAGCAAAGAAACAGAGAACGCGATACGTTGTAACAATGAAACAAAATCCAAAGAACGCGCATTTTTTTGTGTAAAATGAAACAACAAAACAGAGTGCGCTTCAGCGCGCTTGGCTTTTTGCAACAGTTAAACAAATTCAGAGCGTGCGCAACTTTGGTACAGCAATGAAACGTAATTCATAGCGTGTGCAACTTTGGAGTAACTGTGAAACAAAATCCGAAGCGCGTAACTTTGTTACAACATCAGATAATGTTACAGTCGAACCTTGTTTATCCGGACTCGTTGGGACTGTACGAAATAGTTCGGATAATCGGGAATATGAATATTTATGAGGAACAAAAACTCATTCAATTAGGAAAGCGACATTTAATCCTGAAACAAAACATTTACAAATCGTTTTGAAAAAGATATGGTCTATATCTTCACTTTCCTAAATGAATACCTCCACTTGTGTGTATTAACAATCAAAATTAATGAAAAATGTTTTTACATTGGCCTAAAACGTTGAGTTAGTAATTTGTCTTAACGCCTTTACTTCACTTTTCAATGCTGTAGTTTTAATGAATATGGCTACGGATATTGATCATGACTAATAAATGTTCATGAAAAATTGGGACCAGAGAAAAAGTCCGGATGATCGAGAAATCCGGATAATCGTGGATAAATTGAGGTTCGACTGTAGTTGAACTGGGAGGAGCGAAAGTTGGTATGAAATCATACACGTGAATTAAAAATCGAACCTTCAGACCAGAGAAGTACAACACGAAGTTCAGTTACCACTTTAGTACAACTATTTTGAAATCGCTAAAGTCAGCTGCTCAAGTAGAGGATTTTCAGTCTCCGCAAACATTTTATAGATCCAGCTCTGAGCTGGTTTGTAAAAAGTTGCAAAAGTTGTCTTTCATTTTCCTGCAATTACATCAGTTATTTTAAGCAAGACTTGCCGGTAATATCTGATTGGTTGTTGTGTATTAGTAAAGATTTCTCAATGACTGGAAACGAGAAGCGATTTAGAGCAATGAATGGTGCGATTTTTGAATAAATCGCACTGATGAGGGCCAATCAGATTGCAAGGACCACCATTGATTTCAAAATAGATGTAGCTGGATGTAATAGTAACGCAAAAACGAGTATGCGCGCGCTACTTTCAAACAACAGTGAAACAAAATCTAGAACGCGTGCAAGTTTGGTGCAAAGAAAGGTTAAACTACAGTCCCCGCAATTTAAGTGCAACAATTAAACAAAATCCAGCGCCCGCAATTTGTGTGCAACATGAAATAGAATGAAGAGCACGCGCAACTCGGCAAGAGTTCTGCGAAATGAGAATGGGCGGTTTTACTTAGCCTTTAACAGGAATAATTAAAAACTGTGCCATTCCATTAATTGCGCCTGCTTTCTTGGAAGAGTACCCCCCAGATATATGTAGTTACGAGTGTTGTTGGTTATAACCCGTTGAAATACGTTTTTCAGGTTTTATCGTGATTAAAGTTCTGCTGCACTTCAGTGACTCCAAGAAAGGTAGCAGTTTTGGGCTAAAGCCCTCTAATGGTACAAGAAGCAGTACCCCACCAAATGGCGACACGGCAAAGAAGTTAGCTTAGATCATGTTATGCCAATATTCAAATTAATTTACGAAGTTGATCAGGGATCGTCTAAGAGAATGTCCAAGAATTCTTGGTAAACATCACTTGTTACAATTGACAACTTGTACTCAAATTTGAATTATATTTTAGTTTATACCAAGTTCTTTCTACATGTTTTTAAGACCTAAGAAGGGAAACGCATAATCCTAAAGTTTTGTATGGTTACTTTTCTTAACAAAAACCACTGAAAACCAGGTGTTACGATTTACGTTGCGCATTGTGTAGGAGAAAGGATGTAGAAAGCGAAACATTGTTGAATTTCATGACTGTTGATGACCCTTTACAGGATTCTTTCTTTATGGGATAACTTCCTTGATCTGGGAGGAAGGAATAAAGTAGATTCAAAGTAATGTGAAACAATTATTCAGTGATGGTATTTCCAGCTTTGTCGATCTCATAAAAATTTTTTTTGATTTATTTCTCGAAAGTAGAGTATTCATTAGGGGAAGTTCGACTTCCAACAATTCCAATAAATGTTTGATTTCTTTATTTAATTTCCGTGTCCTATTATGAACGTTACAGGTCAACAGAGTTATTATCTGTGTATTGCAATTCCTGAGGTTCCTTTCAACTTCTTGTTTTTCCTGTCTTCTGGTTTACTCCGCTTTATTTCCTTTGTCGCTTTCATAGGCTCTATAATCGTACCAATGAGAGTTGAAACACGTGGTTTTGTCAGATGATTGACAATCGTGCCTGTGTTCCAGTGTTTACCCACAGGATTCCGCACGCTCCTTTCAAACTGCACATGGTTTCCGTAAGGATGGGGAACCGAGGAAACCTGAAAGAAAGTTAATGGATTGCACGTTTAATGTTGAGATGTCACTTTCTAACTTACTTAAGAAATTCTAGGAAGAGGGGAGAGGGGAAACTTACTACTAACTGGCATCTCATCCTGGGGCTGTAATCTAAATACTCACCGGCAGCTCGTTGGTGCACTTACCCCCCCCCCCCAAAAAAAAAAAAAAAAAAACAAAAAAAAACAAACAAACACGTAAGGAGCTAGATGGGGATTGAACGTTTCACTAATTAGATAGTGATCTTAAAATAATGCGCTTTTCAGTAAGGGTCGTGCAACCAAAACCAAAGAAATCCTGAGGAGAACAAAGAGTACCAAAGTAAAGGCTAAGAAACTGTCTGAGGCGGGGGAAAACGCAGGGGATCAAGCCGGATGAGAGGATAGCGGGAGTTTTTCTGGACCAATCACTGAGGGGGATAGAATCGAGTGCTTCCCAAGGTCATCACAACGACCAATCAGAAGAAAGGAAATACAAGAACTAATAAGAACTCAAGTACTAGCAAACAAAGTGGCTAAAGCGCGGGAAAATACGAGCGACCAAGTTAGTCGTGCATCTGATTGGTTGAGAGAGAGGGTGGTGCAAGTCTTTTGGACCAATCACAGAGTGGAGTGAAGCAAAACCAAATGAATGCAATCCCAGATTTCCTTCTACATTCAGTTGAAAAAATCGCTCTTAAAACTACTGTACAGCGATGGATAATTACTGTCGATCCCCCTTAAGAAAATTGCCCTAAAATCAAGCCTTACCTGATTCCTGCTAAACAACTTGCTCTTCTCCTCACTGAGAATCACGTGGGACAAATTCTTGTCTTTCCGGGGAGGGGCTGGGTCGGCTTTCTTAATAAACTTTTTTTTCTTCTCGGATGGTTTAATACCTGCCCCAGCCCAGCTCCCCCAGCCAGGCAGACTCAGGTCTACATCTTTTGGTTTAGAAGCCTCCTCAATCTCCTTCTTTTCCTGAATAAACTCTTCTACAACATCATCATTGGCAAACGCTTGCTGAATATTGATTCGCTTCTGTCGAAGGGAATCACTCTCCAAGTCCTCGCCAACATTTCCGTGCTCCTCGATTCTGAAAATTTTCGTCGGGTCCACACGAATGTCTTTTGATTTCGATTTCTCTGTTTCAGCGCTGGCTTTGTCTTTCGCACGGTTTCCATTTCTAAAGGAATTTCTCTGACCAGTGCTGTCTGTACCATTATCGTTCGTATTCTCAGAGACATTTAACATCTTAATCTCGTGTTTACTTTTAGAAAGACTCTTTTCTTCTTCATTAAAAGTATTTTCAGGGTCCTTCTTTTTTGATTTTTCAGATTGCTTTCTCTTTTTTACAGTCACTTTGTCCCCGGTGTCTTTGGATTTACGCTTTTTTCTGCCTTTTGCTTCTTCAAACTGTTGTCTCTTTGTATCCTTTGTGGATTTCTCATTGACACTGACTGGTTGTATCTCAAACTCTTCCCCATTCTCTCTCCCTCTCACATCAAGTTGCTCCAAATCGTCCTCATCCTCATCATGTGCCTCCTCTGTTCTGATTGGCTGGAGCCGGTGGAGCTTGGTTGGAGAATCTGAAAAAATATATATATTAACATTCCTTTTAACACATTCAGGAGATTCATCAATCTAGAGTTACGTGCTATTACAAAATTATCCTTTACTGGGTTATGTTTATTAAAAAAGTTTGGTGACTGAGCTTAAATTTTATGTATTGTCCTCCTTCCTTCCTTCTTTCCTTAATTTCTTTCTCTGTCATCAAACAGAACACATACATCTTCCTGTGCTTAACAGTAGCACACATGAATAGAGTACGTTAGCCGTATATATGTATCTTGCCTACCGTCGAACATTTCTCTATTGTCTAATCTCCAGAATTTGTGTTCTACCAGGGAGGGATCAAATGGTTTTTTTCATTTTATTCTCATGTTTGCTTCACATTGTGAAAACTGTAAGAGGACTGGTATCAAGTCAAACGTGTAAAATTGTTAGGACTGCTCTTACTATGGCCTCCTATGTAGCCGTTCTTCTGTAACCCTTCAACTCCCATGAGTGATCAAGACCGAATTTCTCCTTACAATATCAGTACAACTCCAAGCAGACAAGCGATAAGGATAGCCAAAAATACAAATTAGAAGAGTATTACCTGATTGAAAACTAAATTCTTCAAACTCATATCATGAGAATTGTATGTTAGATAGTAAGGAGTAGAAGGGTCAAAGAGTAACACATGAACCACTGCAAAGTAGGACGCTAAACTACTACTCCACTTCGACGCAGATTTTTTCAAAAAATTACCATTCTCAACGTTATTTGAGGTTTTTGATGAATAAAGTCCTGCCCCATTAGTGGCAAGCTTCCATGGATTGTCTTCAGAGGTAACAAGATTGCTGTAACTGTCGCATTCGTATTCTACATCTCCCAAACTTTCCCCTTGAACTGGTGTATCCTTCTCTTCATCGCTTTCTGACCCTGTAGCTTTCTGTGTCAAGTTCTGGCTGATACGCAGTTGTTCTTGAAGTAATTTTTTAGCCTGATGATAATAAAAAAAAAAGAAAGAAAATCAACAGACAAGAGAGGTTTACAAAGTTTGCTAAATATCTGAACAAGAACTGGAAAGGCATAAAAATATATCATTTCTTAAAAGTGCAATGTAGCATATCCATTATTATCAATTTGTCAGACATTTTATTTTCTCAATGCCCTTCAAATTTGATTAAAGTAGTAACACAGTTTAAGAGAGAACATGAACTTTATTGTTTTATTAAATTCAAGAATGTGAATGGCCATGTAAACACTGATAAAACACGACAAAAAAAAAAAAAAAAACCTTACGTCTACATTCTTTCCCGCTTTAGTTATGAGGTGTTTGGCCCACTTTGAAGTATTTCGATGCTTGAGTGACATACGTTCCTATGAAGAGATTTGATTAGTTAGTCTTCCTTCCAGTGGCTTAACATTTCCTTGCAAAGAATTGAAGAGGATTTTGTTTCAGATCACCAACCTCTGGCTGATTAGTGTGAGAATTCTCATGGTCTGTTTTCTGCATAATTCATTAAAATTGTATGGACATATTAAATGTTAATTGGTTAGGAGAGTTAATATACTGTAACAGAAGGAAAATGATCACCTCAGCTCTTAGTTTTTCAGCTTTTTCTACAGTTTCCTTCTCATTATCTGCCTGAGGATCTTCTTCAGCTTTTTTTTCAGCTGCACGTTTCTCAGCTTTTCGTTTTACCCGATGATATCTAGCATGAACATTTATGATAGTCAATTCTCAAAATTAATATCCACAGAACCGTTGTGGCATCGTAGCCAGAAGTAATTTTACTAGTCGTTTCACACTAGGAAAACTGGGATTATCTCTGCCTTCCATGGCATTACTCAGTTTCCCTTGCTAGATGCAACATACATCTATTTTTATTGTATACAATGAATATATGAAGTTCATATATTTTGAACTGTGGTATTAGATACGTATGATGCACGATCCTCGCAGTAGAGAGCGCTAGTTATGCAATAGCGAAAATCAGACCTGAAAAGAAACCAGGCCTGTACGGGATTCGAACCACTGACCTCTGCGATACTTGTGCAGCGCGCTACCAATTGAGCCAACAAGCCAACTGGGAGCAGGCCGTTAAGTTGATTCGTAATAAACCCGTGATGATCATCACGGGTTTATTACGGGTTTATTACAAATCAACTTAACGGCCTACTCCCAGTTGGCTTGTTGGCTCAATTGGTAGAGCGCTGCACTAGTATCGCAGAGGTCAGTGGTTCGAATCCTGTACAGGCCTGGTTTTTTTCCAGGTCTGATTTTCGCTATTGCATAAATAGCGCTCTCTACTGCGAGGATCGTGCATCAGACGTATTTTTATTGTAATAGGAACTCAACAGTAGATAACTACAATGTGGTCATGTTAACTATCAGCTCTCCTGAGAGGGAAGTAAATAGCTCTTCATGCTAGGTAGAGTTAGCATAAATCCCACAGTAGGACACATACTTTTTGCTTTTGATTTTCTTCATCCTGTGACATTTTGCTTCATAATAAGACTGCAGTGCTCGCAGTTTCTGCAATTCATGTCTTCTCTCCTTTGCCTGAACAAATATCATGGAAAAGAAATTAAAATATCACACATTCTGCCTTTGCTAGTGAGAAAAGCCTTTCTGCAACTAGGCAGTAGCTGTCTTGATTTTTTATCATCTAGCTTTGTCTTGGGAAGTTACAGGGTTTGAAATTAAAACAAAATTCTCGATCACATATTTGCAAGTAATTACTAAAATTTAGCTGCAGGTTTGAAAATTTTAGTTGGAAAAGTAACCAACCCAAACAAAATAACGGAAATTAGAAACAAAGATTTCCTAGAAATTTCATTAGCCTTGCACGATGTAGTTTCTGAAAAAGTGCACCTGTGATATGTTTCTCAGCAAGAAATCAACGATAAAAGTCACACAACATTTAACTTGAAATTTTCAGGATTTTTTGGATAAAACAACAGCAACCGGTAACAAGTAAGACAAAAGACTGTTAAAAATATCTTTATCTATAAGCTAGGCTATAAAGCAGTTGCAAAATACCTACCAATGGGGAAATTTTAGTAGGAAAAAACGAAATCTTTATTTGCAAATGTGCCCAATACAGGTGGACTTTCGTGCCCTGAGTTACCTACGAACATTAACCCTTTGACCCTTATGAGTGATAGGCATCCAATTTCTCCCAACAATCTCACCCCTGAATCACACTAAGGTCACGAGAATAACAGTTATGATCACCAGGTCTTGATTGTTCAACAAATTCTCCTTGTCAGCACCTTAAGAAATGTATAGAGAACAGTATGAAGAATATGCATACTGACGTGAGGGTATCAAGGGCTAAGAAATGATGTTCTAGTCATTGTAATATTCTTCCTTGCCTCCTCTAAATCCATGCCTTGCAATGCTTTCTCTTCTTCTTCAGTCAGCTCCTTGTTACTCCGCTCAAGAACATGAGTGCTCCCCCTCAAAACAGCAGCAACTTCTTCCTCCAGAGGAGTTCGAGGCTGAACAAATATTAGGAAGAAAAAATCAGAAAAAAATCAGCATTTGCCATCTTGCCTGAAGGCCCACAGGAAAAAGCTGAGGTTTTGCGACTTCAATAAATAATGAATTTGATGAAAACTCAAAATCTCATCAATTGGCTCCCTTTCCCTACTCTCAACCCACCAAAGTAACAACTGGCCATGAAATGAACATAGTTATGGTGAAAATTAAATGCACTTGTTGTGTTTAGGAAAACATAAATATTTTTCTTGACACATGGGAAATGCTGTGATGGGAGAGCAGGGTTGGCGTGGTGGTGAGAGCGCCCGCCTTCCACCAATGTGTCCTGGGTTCGATTTCTGGACCTGGCATCATAAGTGGATTGAGTTTGATGGTTCTCTACTCTGCTCCAAGAGGTTTTTCTCCGGGTACTCCGGTTTTCCCCTCTCCTCGAAAACCATCATCATTTGAATTTATTTAATTTAGAGTTTGTTTGAATTTATACACGACCCCACAAGCTGTTCAGCTTTAATCATTATCGTGTCTAAATAAAGGTGTTATTATTATTATTATTATCATTATCATTATCATTATCATTATTATTATTATTATTATTATTATTATTATTATTATTATGTAATGGTTAGACATATAAACCCTGGATTAAGAGGTCCAACCAGGGCTACATCAACATTTCTGTGTTCTCAGGAATGAAATTTAACTCTGAGAGTGCCACTTTCCATCCAGAGTATTTGTGACTATTAGTGATCTGAACAGAAACTACATGTAATGCTTAAAGGGAACTTGCAATAGACTAGCATGTCCAGAGGGGACGTGCAGTTAATTTGCATATTGTGCCTTGCCTCTACCTTACCTTAACTGGTCCCAATGGGGTGTTTATACAATTTATATGCCTTGACTCAGATGGGTCAGGAAGAAAAAAGAGGGCTATCAGAATTTTTGAAGATTCCTTGAATCTTTGTAAATTAATTCTTTATAATGGCATTGTAAAAAAGTCTCAATCCTGATCTCTTCTGCCAGGATAAACAGATATCCAATAGAGAAGGACTCTACTCTAATCTAAACTACCCTTTCATACTAACCTCAAGGCTTAGAAATTGGGATCAGCTTTGGCAATGAGCCAACATGCTTATAAGATGTAACCTGCACCCTTCTGCAAGAGGCAGGGGCAAAAAGCTATTCTTCCCAGCCCCTCACTCAGAGAATGCATTTCTAGCTATAATCAATTGAAAATAATTAAAGCTTGCAGGTTGCTTGTGTACAGCAGTGACTAATTCAAGAGGCTCATGAGAGCTTCCTCACCGTATTCCATTATTATTTAATTATGCGATGAAAACTTGAACCCTTTGCCGTCTCCTTCCAAAATGACATCCCTGTTGCCACATGAGGCATAAGGGAGCGACCCTTTGTAAAAAGGGGTGGCTGCCCTTATGCCACATCCAACAACAAAATTGCAATACATACTGACTACTGCATGGTTCCACCTTTTAAAATAGATGGAGTTGTACTTTAACAATTCAACATAAGGATAAGAAATACATGAACTAACTGAGACAAACTACATTTTAAGGCACATAATTGTTTAGAAGCAAGCTCAGTAAATCTAGTCAACTCAATGCCCTTCTGATAAAACAGGACACCACATACTATAATTACCTTGAACTTTGCAGCCAATCCTCTCAGTGAAGGAGTAGGTGGTGTGTATGGTTTCAGCGGAAATGACAAATGTTCTGCCTAGTGACAAGATTCAAATAACCTTTCATCATTACTACAGAAGGTCTTACTGCTACCAATGTCATGCTACAGAAACTAACATACAAGTATTGTAAAATAAAGCTTCGTTTGATTGTAATAGTGAAAATTCTATGAATGGATGAAACAATGACTCCAACTTAAATTATGTACCTCTCTGTTTTTTTTCACAGTGGGCGCCCATTTCTCAATGTCTTTTTTGGTTTCTTCATAAGCAATTGTACGCTGAATCTGGAGAATAAGAAATTACCGTTGAATTGTAACCTTTGTACCCTCACTCTACACATTAGAGACATAAATCTTATTAGACATTTTGTTGTGTAGTATCGCTGAGTATTTTTACGAGTTGTGCCATATTTTGACGAGTCAAAATATAAATAACTCGTAAAAATACTCAGCGATACTACACAACAAAACGTCTAATAATTTATTTCTTATCCAACACGCCAAACTGTTATTTCAGTGCGGGCGAATTTCGCGAAAGTTTATTTACGAGAAGTGCGTGACAGAAGTATGCGAAGCAGAATGGAATTGGCGCGTTGTTGTGCTGCTGTTTCTATTTACTTCATTAAATGAAGAAATTTTCTGGTCGTCAAGCTGTTTTTCTTCGTTTGATTCATCTACTGAATCTGGATCTACATTTGCCAGCCATTCTGACTCTTCATCGTCAGAAATATGATTCAAATTGTCCCCCATTTGTTTTTTTTTTCGTAACTACAATCCAATTTTTCGCTTGCGTGATGCGAGAAAACCTGTTTAACCGGTACTACAATAGACGAGTACAAATACCGCGTGATATTTGTACTCGTCTATTGCGTTATTTGTACTCGTCTAGGTGTAGTTGGATAATAATCACACATATTCTAGTCTTCTCGAATAAGCACGAATAAACCGTAGGCTCTGTCTCCTGCAGGGTTAGGGGTAGGAGATGTTAATTTCCCAAGTTCGAGATTACTGTGTGGTGGATGTCCTCCCCTGGGGTNGCAAGCAGAATGGAATTGGCGCGTTGTTGTGCTGCTGTTTCTATTTACTTCATTAAATGAAGAAATTTTCTGGTCGTCAAGCTGTTTTTCTTCGTTTGATTCATCTACTGAATCTGGATCTACATTTGCCAGCCATTCTGACTCTTCATCGTCAGAAATATGATTCAAATTGTCCCCCATTTGTTTTTTTTTTCGTAACTACAATCCAATTTTTCGCTTGCGTGATGCGAGAAAACCTGTTTAACCGGTACTACAATAGACGAGTACAAATACCGCGTGATATTTGTACTCGTCTATTGCGTTATTTGTACTCGTCTAGGTGTAGTTGGATAATAATCACACATATTCTAGTCTTCTCGAATAAGCACGAATAAACCGTAGGCTGTCTCCTGCAGGGTTAGGGGTAGGAGATGTTAATTTCCCAAGTTCGAGATTACTGTGTGGTGGATGTCCTTCCCTGGGGGTGGGTGTTATTGTTTCACAGGGTTCCATTTAAACTAGCTATCTGCTAAACTGGGCTACCCTGTATAAATATTTGTAAATACATACATACATACATACACACACATTGTTTTAGTTATTATACATCTTTTTGTCCCTTCCAGATTAAGACACATTTTTTACTGAAACTTGATTAGTGGCTAACATCAATTTTCACATACTTTCTGTACTTCTGGTTTTGGCAAAGGAATATCGAGGGTATCCGAATTCCTCTGCATACTGTCCTAGAGTGAGATGAAGAAAAAAGTAATTAAACCACTGCACAAAAATATAGTTGCAGAAGCTATAGGAATTCCCAAAACATAGGCATGCTACGCATGCAGGAGTTATTTTCTTCAATACGTAGGTTGAAATGTGTAGTGTTTTAGTTAAATAAATAAATAAACTTTAGTAGCTAACACAATTACTGGTAACCCAGTAGTTCACACTGTGGGCTGTATTAAAAAGAATTGTAAAAACTAGATAATCAAGAACAGCATGCACATAAATGTATTCAAAACGTTCTAGAGATAGTAAAATGTTCACGATCTGAATTACTTTGTAAAAAATTGTTCACTAAAAGTTTCTTAAAATTGCTTTCATCTATAACAGTTTTAAATTTGTCGTCCAGACGGTTCCATAAGTAAGTGGCACTCGCATGAAATGTTCGAAGTCCTGCGTTGGAGCGACATTTTGGCACAGCGAGATGATCATGGAAAGAAGCTCGCGTATTATAAGAATGTGTGTTCTTTACATAAGTTCTATAGCTTGTAAAATAATGCGGACACTCTCCGTTCACAATTTTGAACATCATGCACAATTTCTTCATGTGTATTACATCATCAATTGGCATCCATTGTAGTTTCTTGAACATTTGAACTGAGTTATTGTGAAAACTAGCATCTAATATTAACCTACCACAATGTTTCTGCACTTTAAGTATTCTTAACAATTGGTCATTAGGGGCGTTACCCCAAACCGAACAGCAATATTCAAAGACAGGCTTAATAAGTGCATTAAATAACAATTTTTCTGCAGGAGGTCAAGGTAGCCATTCGCTCTTTTTAACAGATAAATTCTAGAGTTCAGCTTCCTAATCAAGTATTCGATGTGGTTGTGCCAGCTAATGTGCTTGTCGATCTTGACGCCTAAGAGTTTTTCATCCTTGGCTTCTTCTAAGCGGTTGCCATTTAAGTAAAGATCTAAGGTTGGGTCATTAG